TTCACGAAGTGTAGAGATGCCTTTGCCAATATATACGCCATTTATAAGAGTAAATGACGGATCCGCTGAGGATTATCTGGAACTCATATCAATATATTTTAGACAAGGCTACAGTAATCTGGAAATACTTGAATTTCTGAAGCTCCATGGAGTGACCATTAGTTTATCAACTCTGAAGAGAAGGCTTACCTCTTTAGGATTATCAAGAAAAACTAACATCTCTGATGATGAACTGAGAATTGCCATTGAGAAGGAACTTGGTAAAAGTGGTTGTTTTGTGGGATACCACAAGATGTGGGCAAGGATAAGGAAGAGGGGAATTATAGTCAAAAGAGCAAGAGCAGTGACTCTTTTGAAGGAACTAGATCCCGACGGTGTAGAAACCTGGTGAAAGAAAAGGTTACGTCGTCGTGCATATCATACAAAAGAGGCAAATTTTATTTGGCATATTGATGGCCACGATAAATTAAAGCCATTCGGGTTCAGCGTGCATGGCTGTGTTGATGGGTTCTCTCGAAGGCTTCTCTGGCTGAAGGTGGGCCCCATAAATAAGAATCCAGAAGTGATTGCCAAGTTCTACCTAGATACCGTGAAACAGTTAGGTGGTGTACCCCGGAAGATAAGATCGGATGATGGGACTGAAAATAGTGCGATTGAGGCTCTTCATACTTTCCTTAGGTATGCTGATGAAAATGCTGGCCCAGGATGTTTTAATATTGGCAGATCCACGGCTAATCAAAGAATTGAATCCTACTGGTCACAATTCGTAAGGGATGGTCCTGGTTGGTGGATCAATTTCTTCAAAGATTTGTCCGACTTAGGTTTATTTAACAGCACGGATCCTGTTCATCAGGAATGTATTCGATTTTGTTTTATGCAAATATTGAGAAATGAGTTTAATGAAGTTGCTGAGATGTGGAATCAACACATTATAGCTTCAAGCAAGTTTGGAAATGGTAGTGGTCCTAGAGGAAGACCCGACTGCATTTTTTTCCTTCCCCACCTGTACAACTCAGGAAACTACAAAGTACCTGTTGACCCCCAAGAACTTGAGGAGTTCATTGACGAATCAACCATGTGTTTTCCAAATTGGAGTCAAGAATTTGAGGAGTTTGCTGCAATAATAATGACTGCATTGGGACTGCAGCCACCCCGGGATGTAAATGAAGCACTCGATATGTATGTGACATTAATTAAAGAGGTCGAAAAGTTGCCATAGTTTAATTATTTTGAATGTAATAAGTTGACAACAAAAAAAAAGATCTAAAATTGTAACAGCTTTAATGATTATTAGTTCCACAGAGACAGAAAAAACATTCTATGCAAAATCTTAAAAATATTAAACCCTTCCAGTTCTAATAAAATAAGCTAAAATATGAAGTTGCCCAACTTAAGTTTTTTTCTTTTTCTTAATACAAAGAGACTATTCCATCAAAATAGTTCTGGTGAAATCCCCTCAACACAACACAGTCAAAAAGTAATGTGTTGTATGAACCTGGAACCAAAACCAAAACACAATGACCTTTAGTCACAGATCACAATTTACATTCCCCTCAAGGGCAGAAAGGCAATGCCTCCCTCAATAAAGTGCTGGCAAACATGTCATCTTAAACCTATAACTCCCAATATTAAATTTGCTATTCTCCTTTCCAGCTGTTATCTACTTCTTTGTGAATTGTTTTGGAGAATTTAGTTTGTATCAAGATACATCATCTGATTGATAGGCTTGCCTTTGCTCATTGCCTGTTTTCTGGCATTGTGTTGATGTTATAAGGAGATCTTGTACTGATCTCCACTCACTTCCAGAGATGAATGGAAAACACAACAATTTAAGACACAATCTGAAAAATTGCATGCATTTTAGGGAGATAAAAACTTAAGGTATCTCCTCTGATTACATGTTTACAAAACTTTTTTACATTTTTTTAAACTAAATATCTGTATAAGTGTATATATATACTCTGAATATGAATATAAATATATATGAATATATATAAATATATATGTGTGTGTGTGTGTGCACATGCATATCTATATATACACATATTCAGATATAGTTGCATGACAACATCTCTTTGCTATGTTAAATTAAAAAACTCAATTTGCATTTTACACCAAGAGTGCCTCGTCCAGACTTAGATAACAGGTTGGAACAGGAAACTATCTGATATACCCACAAAGTTTGGCTTTATGAAGAGTAAAAAGAATTACAACATCATCAGCTCTTCTACCAGCTTTGGCTACATAAAAAAGGCTTTTGAACTACAGAAGTAAAGGTTCCAATATCACTGTGGGCTGATCATGGTAAAAGGTCTGAAGGAGACCAGTTGCCTAAAGTATCAAGTACAATGTAAACTTAGCTTTTCCTACAAATTTTGTAAGTTGCTTGAAAAAGATGAATGATGAAACTATAACAGCAAAACAATGAAAACATACTTGAGAAGGGTTGTAATCTGAGGTGTGTTGCATGGTGTATGTACTGTAGCATACACTATATTCCTATTTCAAAGAAAAATGACAAACTTTGACTTTCATACTTTTGTAGATTACTTGGTGACAAAAATGACAAAACAAAGCATACAAATAAAACTGTTATCACAATTTTCAAATGAAAAAACACAGTATAACATTACCTGGCTATCGTGCAAACTATACAGTTTATTCCTTTGTAAGTCCCATTATGTCCATTTCCCACATATCCTTTTCCAAAATGTTGTTGAACTGCTCTCTCAGCTCAACAAAATTAGAATAAGTGGAAGGCAGTTCCAAGAGAGGTCCACATGTAAGAGCAATGGGCCTACAAGCAGCACCTTCAAATTTTGTGAATGTGACTTCAAGCTTGTTGGTAATCAAGACATCTGATGCAGTTGTGAATCTTAGGAATTGAATAAGCTTGCCATTGTCTAAACCTCTTATATAACGTTGCAGAAATTTCAGAGCATCGCGTTCTGCATCTGTGTCTGGCTGTGCTACTAAAGTTTCTAGAACTTTCTTGTTTGTTAGGTTTAATGTATCATATAGGCCTTGAATACCTGAAACACTCTGAAAATGTGGATACTGCTTTAGCTCTTGGACACTAGGCTGCCAGGTGGAAATCATGACATGAGGCTTTTGGATTAGTTCTTGATTAGCAATTTCTAAGAGAACTTTCCTAAGATTCTGTGCAGTAACTGCTGTTCTACAATTGAATCTTTCCAAGAATTCAAGCAGCTCTCAATTTTCCTCTGGGAAACAATCTTTCTGCAGATATTCCCTCACTAACTCTTCTTCCACTGGTGACAGATACTGGTCCAACAAAACCAAACAGGCAATCCAACTAGGCTACGCAAATCGTATAATCTATTCCAATATATTATTATTCGATCTAAAGAAAAGAACGAGATACATTTGAGAAATTGAACAGGATCCATCGATTCATAAACACACGAGTAAAACTATTAGATAGAATTACAGCACTGAGAACTTACTTCTATGACGATGTCTAGTAGGATTGTTTCACGGTGTATAGCTACGTACAGGTCAGCAACAGATGAAACAGGTCAGGGTATAACAGAACACGGGTCAGCAAGACAGGTTAGCAGAACTTGTACGTATCTTCGAATCTTAAGTATCTGAACTGAAAACTGAACTATTCACGTGGCTTAATTACATAAGCTAGTGTCAATCAAAATCAATCGGGAAAATCAAGTTAATAATTCATTATATTGACGAAACACTCTCCGCCCTGATAAGGACGTAGTCCTTATCATAGCAAATGTTCCTTTAATCGTCGCCTTCAGCAGGGTGAATGACTGCAATCTTCGTTACTGGGCGGCTGTACTCTCCAGTGGCTGTCTTGACTGTAACGTTTCGAACGCGTCCGTCAGCTCCAGGGTGTACTTTGGTTACTCTGCCTACAGCCCACTTGCCTCTCACAGCGTTCTGGTCGGCTACCGTAACTATGTCATCAACTGCGACATTGCGGTTCTCAACGTGCCACTTCTTTCTTGGTACTAGAGTAGGGAAGACGTCCCTAGTCCAGCGTTTCCAGAATGAATCAACTATTCTTTGCACGAACTCTACTTGCTTGCGGAGATTTCTGGTGTCCTTAAACGGACCTTGTGGTACTTCCGGAGTGGCTCTTCCAAGGAGCATGTCGTTCGGACACAGGTAAGCTCCGTCGTCTGGATCATTAGGGATGCGCCCGATGGGACGTTGGTTCAACAGGTTCGCGATCTCCAGGAGGCAGGTGTACAATTCGAAAGGCGTCAGAAGTTGCTCGCCGATTGCAATCTTTAGTGATCTCTTACAGCTCTTTACAAGGGCTTCTGCGCAACCGTTTTGGTGTGGCGCAGCTGGCGTTGTGAAGATCCACTTAATGCTCTTTTCTCCACAGAACTCGCGTAACTGATTGCCATCTAGGTCTTTCACCATCTCTCCCAGTTCGTTAGCGGCCCCAACCATCTGTGTTCCGTTATCGCTCAATATCACTGCTGGGTATCCTCGAATTGAAAAGAATCTGCGAGGCACTTGGATGAACTCCATCGTAGTTAGGTCAACTGCTAACTCTAAATGGACAGCCCTGGTGTTTAAACACGTGAAGATCACTCCGTAGTGCTTAGCCGTCTTGCTTCTTCCAACTTTAACGTTATAGGGACCAAAGTAATCACACGCGGTGTAGTAAAACGGCGAGGTGTGTGGTGCTAAACGGAGAACAGGAAGGTCTGCCATGAGTTGCGTCTCAGCCTTGTGTGCCATTTCACGGCAGAATCCACACTTAGATTTCACGGACTTTCTTAGCTTGTTCGCTTTTAAGATCCAGAACTTCCTCCTTGTCTTGCCTGTAGTAGCGGCTACGCCGGAGTGTCCGTACTGGTGAGCGTGTCTTGTTACCAACAAGGAGATCCAGTGGTCACTCGGAAGAAGGGCGGGATACCTTGTTTCATATGACACGATAGCTTCCTCCAACTCTGATAATTCCGTTTTCATCTTTGAACGAGCTGAGCGATTTGAATTCACCTCTATTTAAACGGCTGTAGAGGGTTGTCTGTGCTTGGCTTATCCAGTAAATTTCTGCTTGCTGAAGCTCTTCAGGGGTCAGCAGTCCTTCCTTTCCGTGTTGGTCGTATTTCTTCAGTCGTATCTTTACTGCCAATCTGCGTATTCGTGCCGTTACACTGATCAGTTTTCTCCAGCTTGAGAACTTGCGTGGATCAATACCATTGCTAGCTTTCGGTGCTGTGACTGCGGTCAATATCTGCATCTGACGGCGTTCCATGTCTACATTCGGCGCTGGCAGGGTTGTCGTAATCGGCCATTGACTTTCTGGTAGGTATAGGAACTCTGGGCCATTCTTCCACCTGCCTTGTAACTCATTAACGCGGATCCCTCGCGACAGGTCGTCAGCTACATTATCCTCACTGGGGATGTGCTTCCACTGGTTTGGATCTGAGTTACTTTGAATTTCTCCCACTCTCGAGGAGACGAATGGTTTGAAGCTGCGTGATGGACCTTGAATCCAGGCCAAGGTAATCGTACTGTCGGTAAAGAACTTGACATCTTTAAACTGTATCCTAGATTCCTCCTGAATGGATTTGGCTAGGCGACTTGCGAGGACGGCTGCTTGTAGCTCCAAGCGCGGAATTGTCAGCTGTTTCAACGGGGATACTCGAGAGTTCGCTGCGATGAACTTGACTGCGTAAGTGCTGTCATCCTTTCTCTGGCGTGTGTAGGCACATGCTCCGAGTGCGTCTTGTGATGCGTCAGCGAAAACGCATAACATTGGCGGTTCCACAGCATTGACTACTGTTAGACATCTGTCGAACGACACACTGTCTAGTTCCTTAATTTCCTTGAAGAGTGAAATCAAGTTTTTCTGAACTGCAATTGGTAGCTCGTCATCCCAGTCCAGCCCCAGCTGCCACAGTCTTTGCATTTCAATCTTTGTTCTGACGATGAACGCTGCTGCAAATCCAATCGGATCATAAATGCGAGCCACTTGACTCAGGATTATTCTTTTGGTCATCTTCTGCACATGGTTTTGACTGTTGTCTAGCTTCAGTAGGTTTGCTGCCACTCTGAAGTGAAACTTGTCTTTTTTAAAATTCCACAGGGTTCCCAGGACCTTCTCCTCATCTCCTTTGAAGATGTTAATTTCCTTCTCTGCGTCACCGTTCACTTTCTCTTTGAGTATCTTATTGGAAATCCACTCTTTAACTCTGAATCCTCCCGTCTTCAAAACAGTGTCTATGTCATTTGTTAATTTTCTAGCTTCCTTTTCTGTATCTACAGACTCACAGATGTCATCCATGTACGTGTTGTTCGTCAGCACCTCGGCTGCTTCTGGGTAGCCTGCCTTGTTCTCTTGGGCTGTTTTTCGTAGCGCTATTTGCGCCATGGCGGGTGCGGGCTTGTCCCCAGATGTCAGAACTGTTTTGACGTAAGCGACAGGTTCTCTGTCTGTTTCCATATTTCTCCAGAGAAAGCGGTGTACGTGTTGATCTCTTTCGGGAATAAGGATCCTATGATACATCTTGGAGATGTCTCCCAGTACTGCAACTTCCTTCTCTCGAAATCTCAAGACAACTCCAAATATGCCGTTTAAAAGGTCGGGACCTTTTTTCCAGTAATCGTTCAGAGCATCTCCTTGGAATGCAGAGGAGGCATTGAAAACAATTCGAACAGGTGTGCTCTTCTTATCTGGCCTCAGTACAGCGTGATGTGGAATGTAATGAACAGGACCATGATACTTGTCTTGTTCTTCCTTTGACAGCTTTCGCGCAAATTTCATGCTTTCCATTTCCTCCATCTGTTTGCAGTAAGCTTCAGCTTGTTCAGGGTTTCTTTTCAGGCGTCGTTCTGTTGATTCTAGGCGTTTTATTGCCAAACCTCTATTGTCTGGCAGCTGGTTAGGGTCTTTCCTCCAGGGGTAAGGGATCATCCATTGGTTTTCGACTTTCAAACACGACTCCTCTATGAGTTTGGCTTCTTCTCTTTCTGTTTGAGTCAGTTTGTCTGCATCGCACACACAGGGTTTCACGGCCACGCCCATAGTTTCCGTTGTCCAAAAGTCCGTTAAGTCTATTGGTGAGGCGTACTTGACATGCAATATGCTGGTTACGTCACTGATCTCTTCTGGTTTTCCTCCAAAAGCCACCCATCCAAGTGGAGACTTGCGAGCTAGCAGGTGGTCCACTTGCCTTGTTTCCTCAGCATGCATCTGTGCGTGATCAATGCCGATCAGCAGGTCAACGTGCCCTTTTCCACGGAGAAATCTGGTGTTTGGTACGCCAAGAACCTCCGGTAAGTGCGATGTTTTCACTGCTGGAATCTTGTCACTGATGCTATGAATGCCAATTGCTTTAATAGTAAAACGCTTGTTGCTGTCAATACAGGTCAGCTGAACATTGTACTCCTTTGTTTTCATTTTTTCGAAAAAATGTTAAAAAAGAAACGAACGACAATAGACATAAGATGGGGGACAGGATATGAAATAACTTCCTCGTGTGCTTGGCAACAACATACGATAGAGATAGAGGTTCCCTTACACTCTACTTTGTTTGATGATTGATGCCCAACCACCTGTTAAAAATGCCTTATAGGGCTGTCCTATGCGTAGCTGTTCTATTGCTTTTTCTGTTACTTTTGTATTTGTATTGCTTGCATCAGTCACAACGAACGTGACTTAAGCTGCGAGTCAACGCTGCGTTACCAGCCTGTTTCAAATTCATGTCGAATATCCCTATTTCACCGTCAATCACAGCACTTTGTGTCGGCATTGAAAATCATGTTGTCTTATACGCTTCTTGGTCGTGCTTACCAATGCAATCGTAATGTTTGACATGCTTATGTCGTGGTCAAGTAAGTATTCATGCAGTTGTTCGTGGAATATTAAATTTTGTTCTTCCAACTCAACTTCTGGAAGTTGTAACTTTCGTTACAATCGCTCTGACGAAGGGCTAACGCTCGAAACGTCAGCTTTTTTACCCTTTACGGTGGCTAATTTACGTTTTCAACTCAGTTGTTAACACTAAATTACCTTCTGGAAGTAGGGTTAACCAGAATATAAGTATATAACCCATAAGCTTCTGGTTTAACAATTTGGTGACTTCGATCTAGCTAGTCTCTTGCACCCTCTCCACGACCGAGACAACCTCTACTACAGACTGCCAGACTTCATACGGGCTCCGATAAAATTGCAACACGTGCCGCACTATCTTTCGCGAATAGAAATGTTTTAATAACTTTCTTAAACCTATTTACGGACGCAATGTTTGTGATGGAAAACGGAAGATGAATCATCTCAAGACAGGAGCCTTGAGAAACTCCGCATTTTAATTGAAACTCCTCAGGCTGACACCCACGAGCTGATATCCGCTGAGTACGCCCTGATAAATACGATCGCAATCACTTAAATACCCTGCCCTCAAGTCGCACCTTGTTGAGTGCCTTCAGCAAAATACTGTAGTCGACAGTATCAATAGTAGCACAAAGATGTCGTTTTTAACTTTCAGGAATGCAGTTTTAGTGCTGTGGTTCTCCATGTCAGCCGATTGCACAGTCGGATATAAGTTCGTGTCAACCATGTGATCATGTATCGGATGAAAAACTTCTTTCTAGAAAACTTCGATGAGAAAGCCAAACTTAGGGGATATTATGCGACGGCGACAAAATATCAATTTTAAAGTGGTAAGGACAATATCTCACGAGTGAGCCCAGGTATCGCTCTTGCCACGAACATAAAATTCATATCTTCGAGCTAACGTGTTATTTTCTTTTTTGTATATGAACAATAAATTAATCTTTGTCGTTTACCACAAAATCTTTGCGGCAGCCATTATTCTAAACAACGAACAAACCACGTTCATTCAGCAAAGTTTGAAAAGGCGGAAATCGTGTCGTCATCGCTTAATATGCCCATTCGTGTTTTATACGAAAAAAGTGCCACTCCGTTCCCGGATGTAGTGATTGTATTGATTCTACGAGTGTTTTAGTTCCCTATCAAGGCGTTTTCATTCTTTGAAGATGTTTGATAAATTTCAGGCTTATAGACCGTATTATGAAACACCATTATCAAAATTAAAAACATTGTCTCCGACTCATAGTCTAAGCAAGAAGTAAAATCCAGTGGGCTCGAATTGAAAGTGGAGTGCAGACTATGCGATTTTTAGACGCCAATACCACAAAATATTGGCGGACTTAGGAGGAACTGTTTTCACGTATTACTAATTCGAGCTTCGAATCTTCCACTCAATCCCATCGTCTGATTGTAATTTAGTTTTAGTAGCGCTGAAAATTTGATTGAGCTTCATGTCTCTGTTCGGTGAATATCCGTGCATAAATCAATCTGTTGCTCCAATCTACATCTCGTTTACTACGGCCACGATATGTGTTCCGCTGTGTCTATTTACCATCGCCGGAAATTTACTCGTCGTGTTAGCAATCTTCATCGATCCAAACAAAGATCTCAAGTCACCTTTTAACTACTTTGTGGCCAACCTTGCCATTAGCGATCTTTTGGTGGGATTCGTCGTCGGCCCGACTACGGTAGTGTACCATGTAATGGAAGGAGTTGAGATGAAACTGCCACCTTTACCCTACATTCACATACCGTACTTCATTTCGTGTACAGCTTCTGTTCTCAGTTTGGCAGCCTTAACATTGGACCGATATTTGGCGATAGCTTCTCCGCTATTCTACAGAACGCAGCTGAATCCTAAGCGAGCAGGTTTTGTGGCGGCTAGCATCTGGTTATTTTCACTAAGTTTCCCTTTCATATACCTTGTCACGGGCTATCTCACATATTCATTAGTCTTCCTCCACACAGTCGTAATTGGCACTCTCTTAGTCTTCATTCTTACTTATTACAAGATCCTCCGTGCATTAAAAAATCAAATGGAACAACTGAATTCTTTGGATCAGACGAACGTAGACAATCAGGCGAAGAGACAGGCAGCAAGATGGGAAAAGAAAGTAACCGAAACTTTTATCATCATATTGGCTCTCTTGTTAGCGTGCTATCTGCCTTCCTGTATTTGCATTTACATTATTACCTTGTGCAAAGTTTGCAGTTGCACATTTATTCACTGGGCAAGAGATATTCCTCTCCTACTGATCTTAGTCAATTCAGGAGTGAACCCGTTTGTGTATGCCTGGCGATTTGAAAATTTCAGGAAAGCGTTCGTAGGACTTTTGAGGGACAGAAAGCGTTCTCCACAAGAAAGCCGAATAACTTTAGCATTCGACAACATGACGATGGATAATCGACATAGAGCAGTAACTGGTAAAAAACTTCAAAAGGATGGGACACGAAGTTAACTTTGCCTGTTATCATTATGTTGGCTCTCGTCGTACTGTATCCTCAATTGTGCCCTTGTATAATAGGTCAGAGATTGTCTTCTTATTTTGGTCCTCGCTATTTCTGCATTGAATCCGTTTGTCTGTGCTAAGGTCTGAAATAGCATTTTAGAATTTTCTGACGAAGAGAAAGTGCAATGTTTATTTTAGGGGAAGGAAATGAGAATTTGAAACTTTGGAAGGGAATACCACAAGTTATTACGAGTAGAATACCGCGAAATTCAAACAGTGTAACATGGGGGGATGCTTTCAGCTTTTTGTTCAGGAATTTACATATTTTAACTAATTAAACAATGTCTGTAACTGAAGTAACAATTATCAGACAGATGTGTTCCGTTAAAATTTATCTTAGATAAAGGAGGAGTGATTTTGTTTGCTTATACCTGGTGACAAACAATTTTAGGAAACCAGCGTTAGAAAGGGAACGGTGAGCAAACAACGGTCAAAATCTTAAAATTTTGTTGCAGGAGTCAAAACAACGATTTCCCTTCCTTGTAAAAACAAAATATTTGCTTGAGAACTTACTTCTGGAAGATAGAATGTAATTAAAAATCAAATGAACCTTTTTCGTGTTGATAAGGACAAAAACAGAATAGTCTTTATAAGTGAAATGTTCAGAGTGAAGTTGTTGTTGTGAAACGTCTGACGCTAATCCTAATACGTTACCTTTCAATTTTTTCAAACGTTCGTAATCTCACAGTTCTCAAATTAAATGGTTGAACGCTTCCTTTCTTTGATGATCTCTAAAGCTATTCACAAGTTCACAAGCGGATATAACTGCAAGTCTTAAGAGCGAGGGGTATTTTTGCATTTAACACTTGATATTGATCGATACCTCTCTGATCTCCACAAGTTGCACAAAATGTAATTTGTTTGTGTTCAAGTTAGGGTCTGAGAGATCTACGTGGGCAGCTTGTAAATATTTCCGAACCAACCTTAAACTTTGTGTTAATTGTACGGACGAGTGAGCTTTCGACGGGGCGCTTTCCGTCAACGTTCCACCAAAACGAGGCACTTATATATTATGACGAGGCGCTATAGTAAACGTTGATGATTAACTTGGTTTTTCCCTTGCCCGCTGGCACATTCGAACCTAATTTCTTAACCAAATTTTACAGAGAAAGTAAATGAGGTTACATGGGAATGGAACATTGATAAGGATAACTTGTTCCGTTGCCGTAAAACGTACATCGCCGGACTACGAAGAACAAATGTGTCCCAACCTAGTATTGAGTATAACAATTTGCATGTTGACAGAAGGCTGAAGTGTTAATTCGTTTTGTTTGTTTAAGCCTTCGTCTTCAAGTGTCCATAGATAAAGTTAAAAGGAACAAAATCCCTTTTGAACCTTCTGTGAAGACAGTCTTCAGCAACATATTGAAAGTCGTATAGCCCCTTGCACAAGAACGAAATTAATTTAGACGAGAAAGCCATTAATCGTTAATTAGCGGTTAAATTTAATAACATTAAATTCGGACCCTTTTTTGTTACAAACAAGCCCTAAACCGTCAAAGAAGTGTCAATGTCTGAAGCTGAATTTACCAGAATACAGAATGGTACAATGGTACATTACAAAATGATCGCATGTGTTTGCGAGTTAAGTAGTATTTCCGGGGCCCCGTCGGAAGCTACGAAAAACACGATCAGTAAGCCATTAAATTCTCTTAAGTGATAAATAATAACAGATCTACTTCACTTAAGATCCAAATTGAAGTTTGAATAATTAAATGCGGCCCCCTCATTGCTCCGCTTTCCGTCCGTATTTTCCCCCTGTTCTAAAATGTGATAACATCGCACATAATGCGTGTTCTGTTTCCTTTTACGTTGAAATGATAAAAATAACAATAAGACTATTTGAATTGGGCGCCTCTTTAGGCACAACACACAGTGTCTGTGGGTGAATAGGATGGTGGGTGCTTGTTTTTATTTGTGTATATGCACTATTAATATACAGCATTGTTCATCAACCTCAAATCACGTGATACTCAAAACGATAGTGGGCTCTGAAGATGTAGTAAATATTCATACTAGATGAAATGTCCCGTCGGGATTAGACGATGACGAATGTTA